GGTTACCTTATAGGATCTCAAATATAGAATTGGTTCAACCAAAACAAAGGAACTACAATGGAGACTATAGGCAGGGTTTAGGGTTCAGGGTTTAGGGTTTAGGGTTTAGGGGCATTTGGCTTGTGCCAAATGGGGGTTTCCGAAATGAGGGGACCCTAAGATAGTACTCTAAATAATAGGATCCTTATTACAAGGACCCAAAATAAGGTACTCTAATTTTCGGAAGATCCCAGATGATGCCGCACTCGGTCGTCAGTACGGAGCTTCCTTAGCACATTTCAAAACAAGGTCTTCGCAGAAGGCCTTATCCAGCAGCCCACCCAGTATTTAGGACCTAAACCCTGAACCCGGAAAAACTATCCTATAAGCCCCAACTGCCCAAGCTCCTTAAGTACCCTACAAGACCATCCTAAACTCCTAGAGCTTCAGCCCTGAACCCTAACCCTAAAACCCTAAACCCCAATCCCTAAATAAACCCTAAACCCGAAAACCCTAAACCCTAATCCCTAAACCCTAAACCCTAAACCCCTAAACCCCTAAACCCCTAAACCCTAAACTCTCCCTCAACCCTACCCGAGTCCCTGCTACCTCCGTCGTAGGTAAACCTGAGGCTTATCAGGAACCCAGACCTTCTCAGATCCCTTAACTTAGGAATTATATAGGTTTAAGGTTTAGAGTTTAGGGTTTAGGGTTTATGGGTTTAGAGTTTAGAGTTTAGGGTTTTAGGGTTTATGGGTTTAGGGTTTAGGGTTTAGGGTTTAGGAGTTCTACTTTGAATCATAACTTAGGGATATCCAAGTATGATTTTTAGGGTTTAGGTTTCAAGCTCACAGAAATTTCCAGGACCCTCCTTGTACCTTCAAACAGGGTTTAGGGTTTAAGATCCCCCAATAGGAGTATATGGTCCCAAATAAGTGGTATTTAGGGTCTCATCGAGGGTAGATGGAGGATCCAGGTTAACCCTAAACCCTAAACCCTAAGCCCTAAACCCATGGAAGGTATGATTACATTAGGGATCCGAGTATGATTGAAGGTATGATTACATTAGGGATCCGATTATGATTGAAGGTACATTCCTGAATTAAGGGAGATTCATGGGTAGTTATAAATGGGGTTATAAGTCCTCTAATATGGCTTATAATTACAGCTACCCTACTTATAACCCCACTTATAACTACCCATTAACCTCCAAGTAAGGGAAATCGGAAGGTCTGGGAAGATCTTGGGTTTAGGGTTTAGGATTTAGGGTTTAGGGTTTAGGGTTGGGATGTCTGGGAAGATCTTCCAGAAGCCTGGAGTAGCTCCTTATCGGCTTTGGAGGGCCCGGAAGCCTGAGCAGAATACTAATTAATGATAGGGTTCAGGGTTTAGGGTTTAGGGTTTAGGGTTTAGGGTTCAGGGTTTAGGGTTTAGAGAGTGAGCATTCTCTAACAAGGCACCCCCCTGGAAACATCAGTAAAGAAGCACAGGAAAAGCTGTGAACAACACCCTAGACATGAACTCCCTAAACTCTCCAAACTCCATTCAGCTCCCTGAATCCTAAACTCCCTGAAACCCTAAACCCCAAGCCCTAAAACCGAAAAGAAGTGCACAATTTCCCCTCGTAGGTGGCAGCCTTGGCTGTGCGTGGAGTCCAAGGTCCAGCTGGGTTTGGAGAAGGACTTCGTTCCATTTTAGGGTTTTCCTAGGTAGTCTTCGAGACCCCTTTAAGGGGACACTTCTGAAGCCTACTTCTGGCGTCTATGTCCCCAAGGGTCCACCTAATTCTATCTCCCAGGTTTAGGATTTAGGGCCATGCTCGTCTTGTGTTTTGTGATGTTCCTATATGTTTTGCGGCTTCTTCTTTTTTAACACGTTGCGTTTACCGGCAGTCGCTGCTACTCTCGTAGCAACAGCTGGTTTTCAATCGATGCGAACAAGGACGAGCTCTGGCTCCACTGCAGTGCTGAGGA